GGTACGAGTCAGTAATAATTTGCGAGTTAAACAGGCTATGTTACGAGTCAGTAATAATGTGCGAGTTACACAGGTTATGCCACGAGTCCGTAATAATGTGCGAGTTAAACAGGTTATGGTACGAGTCAGTAATAATGTGTGAGTTAAGCAGGCTATGGTACGAGTCAGTATTAATGTGCGAGTTAAACAGGTTATGGTACGAGTCAGTAATAATGTGTGAGTTAAACAGGCTATTGTACGAGTCAGTAATATTGTGCGAGTTAAACAGGTTATGGTACGAGTCAGTAATAATGTGCGAGTTAAAAGGCTATGGTACGAGACAGTAATAATGTGCGAGTTAAGCAGGGTATGGTACGAGTCAGTAATAATGTGCGAGTTAAGCAGGGTATGGTACGAGTCAGTAATAATGTGCGAGGTAAACAGGTTATGCTACGAGTCAGTAATAATGTGCGAGTTAAGCAGGCTGTGGTACGAGTCAGTGATAATGTGCGAGTTAAACAGGTTTTGGTACGAGTCAGTAATAATGTGCGAGTTAACCAGGTTATGGTACGAGTCAGTAATAATGTGCGAGGTAAACAGGCTATGGTACGAGTCAGTAATATTGTGCGAGTTAAACAGGTTATGGTACGAGACAGTAATAATGTGCGAGTTAAACAGGTTTTGGTACGAGTCAGTAATAATGTGCGACTTAAACAGGTTAGGGTACGAGTCAGTAATAATGTGCGAGTTAATCAGGCTATGGTACGAGTCAGTAATAATGTGTGAGTTAAGCAGGCTATGGTACGAGTCAGTGATAATGTGCGATTAAAAAGGCTATGGTACGAGTCAGTAATAATGTGTGAGTTAAACAGGTTATGGTACGAGTCAGTTATAATGTGCGAGTTAAACAGGTTTTGGTACGAGTCAGTAATAATGTGCGACTTAAACAGGTTAGGGTACGAGTCAGTAATAATGTGCGAGTTAAAAGGCTATGGTACGAGGCAGTAATAATGTGCGAGTTAAACGGGTTATGGTACGAGTCAGTAATAATGTGCGAGTTAAGCAGGTTATGGTACGAGTCAGTAATAATGTGCGAGTTAAACATGTTATTGTACGAGTCAGTAATAATGTGCGAGTTAAGCAGGCTATGGTACGAGTCAGTGATAATGTGCGAGTTAAAAGGCTATGGTACGAGTCAGTAATAATGTGCGAGTTAAACAGGTTTTGGTACGAGTCAGTAATAATGTGCGAGTTAAACAGGTTATGGTACGAGTCACTTATAATGTGCGAGTTAAACAGGCTATGGTACGAGTCAGTAATAATGTGCGAGTAAAACAGGCTATGGTACGAGTCAGTAATAATGTGTGAGTTAAACAGGTGATGGTATGAGTCAGTAATAATAATAATGTGCGAGTTAAACAGGCTATGGTACGAGTCAATAATAATGTGCGAGTTAAACAGGTTATGGTACGAGTCAATAATAATGTGCGAGTTAAACAGGTTATGGTACGAGTCACTTATAATGTGCGAGTTAAACAGGCTGTGGTACGAGTCAGTAATAATGTGCGAGTTAAGCAGGTTATGGTACGAGTCAGTAATAATGTGCGAGTTAAACAGGTGATGGTATGAGTCAGTAATAATGTGCGAGTTAAGCAGGCTATGGTACGAGTCAGTGATAATGTGCGAGTTAAAAGGCTATGGTACGAGTCAGTAATAATGTGCGAGGTAAACAGGTTATGGTACGAGTCAGTAATAATGTGCGAGGTAAACAGGTTATGGTACGAGTCAGTAATAATGTGCGAGTTTAACAGGTTATGGTACGAGTCAGTAATAATGTGTGAGTTAAACAGGTGATGGTATGAGTCAGTAATAATAATAATGTGCGAGTTAAACAGGCTATGGTACGAGTCAGTAATTATGGTACGAGTCAGTAATAATGTGCGAGTTAAACAGGTTATGGAGCAATACCTTTGACAATGAAATGAAAATTAGTTTTTCTTCAAATTTCTCCTGCAGAATACGAGATATTGTTCCATTCTTCCGGAAATGTTTCTAGCAAAATGCAGTCCTTCCAATAACTATTTTCAAAGTAAAATTCTGAACTTCTTTTTTTTCAAATTTCTTCTTTAAATAATAAAATACTGTTGTTTGTTTAAGTACACGTATGCAAACTATTAAATAGATTTTTTAAATTTAATTTGATTTGTGTAAGTTCTATTTATTATTGAAGTATAATAAGATGTAAAGATGTTTTTTTTTTTGGTAGAAATCTGTTACATTTTTGATAAACGTTTTGATGATCAAATTTCAATCTGGCATATATTTCAGTAAAAGTGTCATCTTCGTCAATCTGAGCAAAGGTGAGTATGTACCTGTGAAGTATGTGATTGCTTTAGAAAAAGTTTATAATTCAATTTGGTATCATTTGGTTTAAGACCGTCCGCTCAAAACTCAGTGCAAAAAAACAACTATTTTGAAAATTTGGTTTGACGGTCTTTATCATAAGTTCACTGGTTGTTAAGGTGAGAGTTTGAGTGTTAAAACATTGCAATAATTTAGCATCAAGACGTTATTATATAGTTATGACTTTAACAGTTATTAGAAACAAATCATAAGGATAATGACAGTTATAAAAATATATATCAAAACCAATTATTTTCGGTAGTATACACCACACTCTTTCCAGTAATACCGCACGTCTTGTGCGTGTCTTTCCCTCTTCTATATATCTTTTTGTGTCATAAAAGTATGTATAGAACACATTATTCAAATGAAAACAAGAGTTCATGATGTAAGGGGGTCTGTTATATGACAACATTCATGTGTATGACACCAACATTAACGTACTGTAGGTGCTGGTAGGTAGGCTAACTATCTTGATAATGCTAACAGACTGTGGTTTCGTGTGAACGTTTATGATAATGATGTGCTGCTCGTCAACCTTGCCGCCAGCTATCACTATTATACACGATGATTGATAAACCAGGAAACGGGACCAACTATGGGCATCCATTATGCCCTTGCACTCAGTAAAACTCTTAAAATCGCCGATCAGTGTATTTTCAATTAAAAATGAATCGATTGCATCCTTTTCTCTAAGTGCTTTGAAGCATTTTAGATCATCACTTTAATTGAAAATATCCCGTTTATCTCTCTAACAACTGTTTCCATGGTAATTAAGTTGATGTACAGGGTAATGGACAAATTAGGTCTAGCATTAATAGTTGAAAATACTCCGTTTGTCTCTTGCAACTGTTTCCAGGATCAAGTTGAATATACTAATACCGTGTTTTGTAAAAATAAAATAAAATAAACAATCCTGTTTTTGTGTATAATAATATAAAGTACCGCCCTTCCAAACCGTTATCCTCCGGGATATCAGACGTACTGGGTGATATAATTTATCACCATGACTGACCGTGCACGAATTCTTTAGCTTATACACAAACACAAACACAAGATTCATTTTTCGTGTTTTACTCTGCTCTCACATAGCTCTACAGAGTGCCATCGTTTAACAACACCCCTATGATAGTTACCAATAATATAGCATTGATGACAATATTATGACCTTTTGATGATGTTCAATTATGTCAACCCGTACCAGATTGTATACCAATTAATTACAGCTATATTTGATATAATTCTATAACAATATATTTGACATGTAGCAATGCGACAGATGAGCGTGATAGGTAATTGATAGATTTCTTGATAGAAGGGTGTCGTCGGAAGAACACCACGAAAACACACTTAAAGCGTTAACACCAGTAGGCGTAACAATATATAAGTAAATCCCCTACGGATGGTGAAAAAAGTTATGAAGGAAGACACATTTTGCTATGACAGATATGAAAATAAAAAGTAATCTGAAATCAATATTTATTTTTGACATGATTCTCTCAACTTTATTGACATGTTTATGTTAAAAGATGAACGAACGTAACACAGAGAATGAATTAAACTGTATCCTACAACTGTTTCGTCCCTTTTAGGACTCATCGGTGAGGCTAGGGGCAACCTATCCCTACATTAACTGACAGAAATCAAGAGTGATCAATACAAGTTCTTATAATTTGTTTCATAGTTGTTGTAAGATAAAGTTTACATATATTTATAACCCAAACAAAAGTAATGTAGAAGTTATTTATCAAATATATCAAATCACTATGTAGCAGTATTGACATGATGTAATACTGACGATAAAACATTCTAATTTTGAGTAAACATAAAATTTAAAAAAAATCAACACCTCATACGTTTCTTATCCTTTGCAGAACAAACTCACGAAAGCAATAGCTGCAGGCTAACCTTAACCCTTCTTACACATATAAACGTAATATATATGTACATGTAGATGTCTTCTAAATAAAAACGACCGCAAACCATACTCTTCATAATTTATTTTAATTGATGTTAATCAAATTACCACAGTTTCTACAACTGAAGCATTTTACATTTCAAAAACAAACACAATATACAAGATAAATATTAAAAGAGACCTACCAATCATCATCATCAGTCTGACACATACATTTAACTAAACTTGAGTCTATACATATCGAGTTTCATATCGATTGTGAGATTACTATTCAATTAAGCAAAATACAAACTAACGGATTTCTCTGATAGTAAATGGAGTTGTTTCTAGCAATTTGGCATCCAAATATTATTTTCATTATTGTATATAATCAAATATGTAAAATGACTTATTTTGAAAAATAAAACCCGTGTCATTCCGTTTAACTATATTTTTTTGTAAATTTCGTAGCATAAATAGATGTCTTAATAATGGAGAATATCTGCTAATATTATTCTCTGTATTTAACATGATAAGATGATTAATTGATATTTTTCTACATTGTACCAAACGCTCAACAACAATTTTCAAGCACAAACAATTGACGCCAGTAATGACAAACGTGATGCAAAATGAGCAAATGAGAAGAAAAGTTCTAAATGGATAAAAGCATGATCTGGATTTCATCTGGGACTAATTTGAAGAGTTTTTTAGTGTTGTTCTACGCTCCAGTTACCATTTTTCGTGACGTCATTTCGTGCCAGAACGGATATCGTACAGTTCCACAGTCTGGTCCGGAGAATGGCCACGGACAGCCACACAGCATTTTGCCAAGCTTCCTTTCCACAAGACAAGAACCACCGTTTTTACATTTTTTGTCACAACGAACTTCACAAAAGTCTCCAATGAATCCTGCCTTACAGATACAGCTAAACCGCAACCGGCCCTCCCGTGATATACTGTGGTCACATTCAGCATCGTTGTAACATCTGAAGCCGAAACCACAGGATGTGTAACTTCCGTAGGTTTTAAACGGATTCGGTAAAACATCAAGAGTTCCCATTCGGACGTTTCTGGCAACGGTGATAAAACCAGCTCCCTTTCCATCCCTGACCTCATTTGGCTTGATTTGTAAATTAGTTCCACAGTTTTTCTCGCATTTGATGTTGCAGTTTGCTCCAGTATAGTTCTGATCACACACACAGATGACAGAACTAGATCTCTCTTCACAGTGTCCATGCTCACAGGTCAGTGCAGCACATATTGTAGTTTGTCGCCTGATCCGTTGAAGTAGTTCAGACACGCGTCCTTCATGACTCTGTACACTAACAAGAAGGCATATTCCAAGAATAAGAAGACTATTCATCATGTCCATTTTTAGATTTCAGTTCCGCACGAATTCTGTTTCTTCTTGAAATTCACTAAAGTTAATAAAGTACTTTAGTAGTCTTAACAAATGTATGGTATTCGTATACCTTAAAGGTTTTTACTATAGCATTAATATTATGACTCTATGTAAAATATAATTCGCACTGATCGGAAAAAAGTTTGTCAGGTCTACACTATTTCACAAGAGACACAATTAGCCATGTACAACACAAGTCGAATGCTATTGTATCAATGAATAGCAGTATTTTCCTTTTCCTCTTTTATTCGATTTTGGATATAGCCTCTGACCAATCAGAACTCAAGTATGTATTTTCGAACGCCGATTACCCATACATCTATCGTTTGTAGGAGTATGTCTCGGGGCAACGTATAACCCGGAGGTAATCACACGACGTGTGTACTGTATGTCAGGTTGACTTATCACGTGGGAACCTGTTACAGTCTCTACCAGCGTTTCAATTTGTGTGGTAGACAGTCTGTAAAGACGATACACGTCGAGCCAATACACTACGACATCTTTACACACAAAAACTAGTACAGGCTGACGTACAGAAACACTGGGATTTACATCAAAGATGTAAGTTAACAGGTGATAACCTCTGTTGATCTGTTGATACAACATTCCATTGCTGTCTGTCATAGATTGTACTGGCTGTCCAGGCAGGGCAATGTGTTGTCGCGCTAAAGTAGGCACCTGTCGGCTTTGTGATTAATACCGATGCAGGAAACAAATAAACAAAACATATTAGTGTAGCAAAAAGATGAACGAGGAGGAGGAAATGTATTGAAGATTGGACAGTGTAGAAGATCAGTCTTGTCGAACAATGACTTGCTACACTCATAACATTAAATCGTTCCTTTACATTAATTAGTTCGTTTGAAAAAATAGATAGCATGCTATATATCAAATGCAATTTCTGTGTATACATATTCCTGAAATAGATATAGACATTTATATACTTATTACAATATACATATAGACGAAAAAAATAACATGATATATATATATAATCCATTTTCTATTGATTTTTTATCCTTCAAAGTAAAACAAACCAGGAAACAGAACATGCGTTATTTATAAGAAAAATAATATTGTAAAATCCCTTACAAACCCAGTTGCAAACCATCGAAAATCTCAATTGGGTCTAATTACTAAAGTCAATTTTAATAGCTATAAGACGAGCACTTCTACCACCCTGACTTGTTCTTTGACAATTGTACAACATTTTAGTTTAAATGTTTACTGTCTCTGTTGAACATCCTCTTTCACATGTTCTCTAATGACATATGTGCAGTTGCATATTCGATTAAAACTGAGAAAGCATATAGTTTCCAATCTGTCGGCAAATACATTTTAACCATATGAGATTTTTAGAATTTTGATTATAATACCAATTTGTATGTTTTAGTATTAAGGTTTGAAAAGCAATAGCATATAGTTCTACAATAACATCTTTGGAATTTTATATTGGAGAATAAACTTTGACCGTATCTTACGTTCTTCAACATCAATTATAAAACAAAATATCATATTTTCTAATTAATTAATTTTCTGTCATCGTAGCATTTTGAGTTTGATGTGTATATAGTTTTTTATATCATATATAATTTAATTACAGTTTATACAGGGTGACCTTAACTTCACCAAACAGACACGCCGAAGGTCAGTCTATCAGGAAATGAAATAGCTTCTAATTATTTAAGAAATGCATTTGTAACACAGCTAGGTCGCCATATTAATGTTGGCTGTCATCACAGGTGTACAGGGCCGGCCATAGGTGAGGAGCAATTCTTTATAAAAGTCACTTTTTTGTGAAGTAAATATGAATGTTTGTACTTATAATGAGCCCGTCAAAATGTCATCATTATTTAAATAGCGTCCCATTTTGCTTGTCATATTGTTTCTGACAGTGGACACGAGTGACGATATTAGATACCAACGTATGCGAGTAACATCAGAATGTAGACAATTTTAGACGTGTTTGAATATCTTTGCAGCTCAATAAGGAATATATACATAAGTTACACTTCTTTATAAAAACATTACTTTCATTGTAACGACATGGCGACGCCAAATTTAACAGGCCATCTTGAAATTCTAGAAAAATGGCATGTGATGTACTTGGTTGTTTATGTTTCGCGTCAAAACTTCTTAAAGTAACTTCTCTAAATGAGAAAACAAAGACTTGTTTGATTCGACAAACTGTTTCTATATAAACAATGTATGAGATTTTTTTCGTAATTAAATGAAAAATAAAGTCAGGTGTGGCCATCTTAAGAACAAAATGATAAAAATAGAATCAGAACATTAATTTTCATCATGAACGTACATTCATAATTAAACAATCTACTAAGGCCCCTGTATGATATACTGTTATTATTACTATTTCCGAATTATAGTGAAGATGTTCATTATTCATATTTCGCTTGGAAACTGTCATAACATCGAATAATTGAATTTGAATTAACCATTCCTCCACAATTATACTCAGCACGCAGCATTTTGTTTTGTTTGATCCTTTAGCATATCATAACGAGACAAGCAATCTTCGAATGTTAAGTAAATCTTCGATATAATATCCCTCGTCTTCTTTGCAACTTCGTTTACCGCCAACATATTTTAATGTTCTTTTTTTTTTAGAATATTGTAATATATTTCCCTCAATTTTTGAGTTTTACAGTGCTTACAATAACACACACGATGTATTGCTTATACAGTTCGATTATCGATTCTGATGCCTTTGACTGTTGATTCTGAGGTGTCCACCTCTCCCCCCTCGAACGGAATTGGTCTCGTACGTAAATTCAGTTTGAATTAATGTTCGACAGGAACATTTCAAAATAACCGTTTTTGTAAGGTCGTCAAATTCACAATTTAATTATTAAGACAAAATTCAATCTGTCAGGCCGGAGAATATTATCCCCTCCCAATGCCGACATTTTTATGTCCTTGATGACCCAAACAACAAACACAGACCTATTTTGTGTTTACGTCATAACCGTGGAGGAAGGTAGTCAGTCACATGCTCACTCATGTGTACTACGTAGTTATATACAGTGTATCGATGGGGCCTCGCACACCCAAGTTATGTCAATTATTTACTAACGGCTACAAACATCTTACACATTTTGAGATCCTTGGTTGGACGACCGTAATATATGTTCCTTATAATATCTATGTAGCAATTACAATAAAACCGAAAGAAATTTCAAGAGCAAATACAAGATTGGATAAATGTAACATAAAACATACAGTATTTACTAAAATGTACCTAACAATTACACGATTTATGTTCAAATGTTGTGACAAACAAACTATTTGTTACTTGTTTTGTTATTACATTACATGATTCTTTGTGACATCATAAATGTTTGTAAACAACAATCAAATTAAATATGAGTTTGTTCTGTTCTATAAAAGGAAATAATTAAAGTATGTAAATTACATTTATATTTATGCAGGTTTTTTAAGGCACATAAATTATGAACATGCATTCGAAAAGAGAGTTTATTTAGTGAGGAAGTATCCATTAGATGTATATAATAAAGGTAAATTACAGCATAAATGAAACGTCATATCAAATATATGAAAGTATACATCTGAGGCTTATATATCTTCATATTGTTATTTTAATTGGTGAACGACCATTATTATCAAATCACAATTATCAAATTAATATACGTTAAATAGACAAATGAAAACAGGATTTTATTTATCATTTTATAAGCTCTATATATCATCCAGATGGGTATGAAATTATTTAATTATTTCATGTTTTAAGCATACAATAAATTACAAGGCTATGTAATACATTCAAAATCTGAGAGTGCATCTCGGAAGTGTTTCAGGTATGCATGCATGAAGAGATTTATATATTTCACAAACCCATTCGCTTACTTCATAAGGAAATATTCCATCAACAATGGACTTAACTTCTTGATCTTATCCAAGGACTATGATTGTTTATCGTTTATCTGTGTCAACTTAAGACTGTTTACACCGTCACCTTTTTATGGTATACCATTTATATGGTAAGTCTATATAAGTATATGGTATGTTGAGTCTTTAACCAAAGTCAGACACTTCCATTACCTATACTAGTATGTATTTCACTGTAAATCTCGATCGTCTCATATGACTATTTGTACACTAGCAGTACTAGCAGTGGTAGATAAATGTGTTCCTCCCAATCAGATACTACAACAGAGTTTTTGTCTGGTATATAATACCAGGAAGCAGACGTAGGGACATTAATACATAGTATGTGACAGTTGACAGGATAAGAGTATGTTGATATAAAACTGATCGATAACAATATATAAGTATAATGTATAAATTGATATGTACCTGTATAAAACAAACAATGGTATCATAGGATACATCAAACATACAGAAAGTACCATCTTTGTGTGAAAAAAAGCAATGCATCTCCATATTGTTCAATACGGGAATGTTAAAATTATTTAATCTTTGTAATATCTAAATAATGAACGATGAACTTTTTTCATCTATTACTGGTAACTTTACAATATACTAAACCGACTAAGTGACCTTTTAATAAAACAAATGTTGTAAATGGGGTGAATTGACAAACACAAAGTTTAAATTTTACAGTAACGTTTACACTCCATTAGCTCTTCATCTGCATAGTAACGGTATAGTAAGGTATGACGTCATGGAATTCCGTCACATCAAGAATAGATGGACAATCTATGACGCCACACAATATTCTACAGTTACGATGCACCTGACGACGATTTTTTTTATAGATTAATCGCATTTCGTCGGTAGAACTCAACAACTTGGTACGGTTTTAAAGGAACGTCTAGTACATCTAAGCTTAGTACAGATGATCACTCGGCCGATTTTAATAAGGTGTGTTTATCTGTGTCAAAAAGGATGTACACAGAGAAACTTGTAACAAACACAAAACTAACCACACAAAAAAACGCTATGTAATTAGTCAATGGGCAACTCATATGTAT